AGAACTGTGTCGACGTAGACTTAGAGTTGCGATGCGCATGGTTGGTTACATTGTGATTTTCATATGTTGGGCATTGAGTTTGAATAATCTAAGAACTCAGCACGCCGAATGGTTCAGTTGACATCGTTGGACCACTGCCAGTACTGCTGTCGAAAATCATGGGGGGGGATGAATGTGATTGTGATGCCATGATCCTCGTCGCAGTACAAGCAGCGTTCTAGCAGACGTTCGGGTTTGGTTTTTGTTCATTTTGTAAACGTTTTCCCCGTTTTACCTGCGGAAAATGATGAGAACTTATTTCTTGTTTGTTTCCGATTGCGCGTTTTACCTGCGGCTTTCGGAAATAAGGTCATGATATTTGTTTGTTTTCTCGTTGTTAGTATTCGAGAGTTGTGCCTTGCATTTACTGCTGTAGGACGGATTGAGTTCCATGGTCGGAGATTTGTCGAAGAGAAGATGTCAATCGGTATATATATGTTTTGTATTCTGTTTCTTGCAATCCAGACGATATACTGGATGGCTTGCATTTTCTGTTTCGGGAGTTGTTTCAGCAGGGGGGCTGTTAAGCTTTTCATGTTCTGGGAGATAGTGCAACAAGGGGCTGTTAAGTTTTTATGTTTTGTGAGATATTGTGGCCAGGGGCTGCTAAGAAATTGATGTTGTCTCTTTGTTTGAGAAACGGCTTAATTGGTGAAAGTTTCCTCTGGCGTTTAAATATGCGCCGGGTTTTTAACCTTTGTCTCTTTTGCCGTATTTGGTATTTTGGTTTTTCTGAATGATATATTGAAGGAAGGAATTGGCATATTTTGGTAAGACATGGTTGAGGCCTATGTGCTTCCGAAGCTTATTTGAGATTGGTCAATGAACTGAAACATGGTTTTGTGCGAGGATCTCGTCCGAAGTAATAGTTGACACGTTTTCCCGGAGTTGTCCGTCCAAAGTCTTTATGACGTGACTCTGATGTAATCTTGATCTTTGCGGAGTATTTTTCTATGGATGATTCTTAGTTTTTGGCTGCTTGAGAATTTGGTGACGACATTTTCTCGAGAGGGATGATTGTTAAGACTCTAGTGAAGTTCCAACATACATAGTAGTGGATTAAGGAGGAATAGTAACTTGAAATTTGAATATTCAATAGATCGGGAAGTTGAGATGATTTGTGAATATGAAAGATGAATGGTTTTGGTTTTGTTGCCGTTTTACCTGGCGATATGTACGGAAGGTTCGTAGATCGTATCTCGTACCGAGTAGGGGGGCTGTTTGTGTATGTACTCGGCAGGATACAGATCTCCGAGATATCCGAGGGGGTACGCATATATGATAGGTTTGGGTATATGCAGACGTGTGTGCAGCAGCAGGTCATGCTTGCCTGCTGCTCATGCTTGTCACTCGTTAATACCTCGTTAATAGTTAATCAAGGAACTTGAGTCACTCCTTTGTGCAACACGCTCTCGACAAGAGCCCGCGAGCGTGATAACATAGTACACGCGCCGACACCCCAAACACCTTGTAGTGCATCGTACGACATTATTCTCCGAACCAACACTATGTTGACATGATCACCAATCTATATATATTCTGCTTACGTTTGCCATCCGATATTTTGCAGAAGCTCGACCGAGAGCAACCCAACTTTCATCATACATTTTGAACATGTCGATTCGTACTTGAGTATACGAAGGAATAGATCGCTAACGGTGTTATGTGTGCTGAATATTGACATTTGCATAATACATGGTTGCATCTATCCGACGTCAGGGCGGCAGATGCAAAAATGTATCACAACTCCCCGTTAAATCACCTCACCACAAATAAATGCTAACCAACCTTGTTCGTGAGTAGTAGTCTTCGATGCATTTGGGGTTTCATCCCGTGTCTTGGCCAAATGTGTTGTAGTATGCAGTAGCCGCCGAGTGACGGCATTACTTTCTGATTTTGTGGCTTGTGAGTCGAAGATGGTTATCAGGTGGCGCTAGACCACACTTCGATGACTACATAGATTGTCGACGATGCGAGTGAGAAAGAGGGTCGTGTTGTTGGCCTGCACTTTCTCTCGAACTGCAAGCAGCCCTGGGACACCAAGCTGTACTCCAACGGCGTGCGGACCCCCGAACTTCTGCCAATGCGACGAACGCTATCAACGAAATACGTCTGTGTTTGTGCATCTATCACTAGGGCAGACACCCAAAACCTAGGTTGCTTGGCGTTAGCTGTTTCAGCGACAACGTAAAACTGGAAGTATTTTGAAACACTACGTACGGCGAACCAAAGGGATTATGCCTGACCAAAGATTTCTAACCGCTGCACTCTTTCGAAATGATGTCGCGAATCCTTGTTTGTTTTGTCGTTAAGGAGCTACGCTTCGGACGATCGAAGAACCGTTCTGCTGGACAGGCCAGCGTGGAAATATATCGGAGTTGCTCTCGAGTCACATTATCCACCCGAACAAAGCACACCACTCCACGCAAGAGTGGGACTTTGCGCGAACAGTGAACCCTTCGGCAGTAGCTCTAAACTTTTCCAGGCAGCAAACCTCGGATAGTTANCGCTGCACTCTTTCGAAATGATGTCGCGAATCCTTGTTTGTTTTGTCGTTAAGGAGCTACGCTTCGGACGATCGAAGAACCGTTCTGCTGGACAGGCCAGCGTGGAAATATATCGGAGTTGCTCTCGAGTCACATTATCCACCCGAACAAAGCACACCACTCCACGCAAGAGTGGGACTTTGCGCGAACAGTGAACCCTTCGGCAGTAGCTCTAAACTTTTCCAGGCAGCAAACCTCGGATAGTTATAATTCTTCTCTCGCACTCTACAATCAAGATGCCGCTACGGCGTTTTGGTGCAAAGTGTAAGCGGCAATGGCGATACTCGAGGCTTTCCGGTCAATTCTAAAATAGTCAAAGTAGGGTTCCTGTCAGGGCTTGTCCAGATTGGACTGAAATATATTGTCTACATTTTCTATGGCCTCGTAAGTTTGGGTTTGGTGATTCTTTTGTGTGGCATCGTACACGAGGTTTTGTGGCTTTCGTTTACTGAACGTAATCTAGGATTTTGTTCCAGAGAAAAAGAGCCAGTGCGCAGCTGCAAGCCACAGATGGGGGCGAGGGGCGGGGGTATTTGCGGAGGAATGATGGCGCAATGCAGAAAGGCAGCAGGGCTAGCGAGCAATTTTGACGAAAGAGGTTTGTTGTTGTTGTTGTTGTTTTTCACATTAGCTCTAAAAAAAAAAAGATTGGGAGGCCGTGGTCTCAAAACCCGGCATACACGACCCCACGAAGAAACAAAAAAAATAGGGAACAAAAACCACTCGGAAGAGAAACAAAATGATAGAAAGAAACACCAGCTACCGCACCAAACGAGAAAGAGCGTCGAGGAGACCGATCAAAATAAAATAAAAGGAGTATGGGGAACGCTTCCCACCCCCGCCTACAACGCCGGAGGGTTCCGTGCCGGGTTCCCGCCGACCAGGCATCCCCCGCCCGGCACCACACCCCAGGAGGTAAAGCAAGACGGGGGGCGAAAAACAAACACATATATATTCCCACAAAAAAAAAAAAA